CTCCCTCGGCCTCAGTCATGGCTCCCCGGACCTGATTTCTGTAACTTGTGCTGAGCGTCTTGAGCCACTGCGTGCCCTGCAGCGAAAAGCCTGCACAATCAGGTCATGATGTTGAACCTGGCCAAACATGATCTTCTTTTCTACCAGGATACAAACGGTAATGGACTTTTTGCAAGGCCTTCAACTCCAGAAAAGCCCTGCTCAATTCTGCGCCTTCTATAGAATCTGAACGCAGAACCGCTTTCTGTGGGTCCGCGCCGTCTCGCACAAGGACAACACAACCCGCTTTTGGAGACTGCCCCCCCCCCCCAAACAATACTTGAGACCAAGCAACCCTCAAGAGTAGGATTCCCATATACACTAGGCATGGCTAGCAGGGAATCCTTTATTCTAGGGGTGTGTACCACACACAAGTGGAGCACTTAAGCCTAAAAAACTAAGTTCCGTAGGGTTCAAGTCAACATTGTGACAAGTCACGCGTGGCGGCAAAGATCCAGAGACAGCAGCACGCTGCCTTCGGGCGCCTGGGGAGGATTTCTTAAGGCGATGTTTTTGGGGTTATGTAGGGATCACGGAAAAGAAAATGGACTACTATAACATAACACGGTGTATATGGGGATATATGGGGATACTGGAAAAATGGAAACTTTCTGAGGGATGTTCGAGGTTTGCAGGCGTTTTAGCGCCTAAACCCTAAATCCTAAATCCCTAAACCCTAAACCCTAAACCCATTTAGGCTTTGGGGTTCAGAGTCTCCTGCACGGAAGTCATTTACCCTAAACTTGAGAAACAAACATGGCAGGGCACCAAGGGTTTAGGGTTGGGGGTTTAGGGTTACGGGACTCCCTCCCTCAAAGCAGCCAGCGGTGCATCCCTTCTCATCCGTGAACCTTTATTTCCGTCGACCGCGCACACAAGCTCCGTAAACAAGCCGCCAACTCCTCCACCTTACCGGTTCTTAGTAGGGAATATGGGAATCTATTATTTAGGGATTACATAGGGAATGCATATAAATATATAATTTAGGGATTACAGAGGGAATATATATAATTTTGGGATTACATAGGGAAAATATATATACATATATACATTTTTGTTTAGGGATTACATAGGGATTAGATTCCCTTATTCCGACTAAGAACCAGTCAGTTAAATTCCATATCCTGGTAAAAAAATCGACTGACTACCCTGGCTCCTCAGCCTCTGCATTTATCAGATCTGTTTTCGTGGGAAATCTAGGCATTTTGAAGCGGCAGAAGCAGAAGTGCTTATGCTAAAAGGAGGGAATATCCCTTCCTGTGGGACTGCTTAGGTAGTTTGGCATGGGGCAATGCTCAGCTACCCAATAATTACAGCGGCGAAGAGAAGCAGTATCTAAACATATCCCAGCCGCGGAAGTGCCAGAGAATGTAAAACCCTCGGGAAGCATCTTCATCCTCCTTGTTGAAAAACCATTTAAGAAAGGAGGAACCTTGGGTGGACAACCCATTACTGGTATGGTAGAAATATAAAGGGGCCCTAATATAATCACCATGTTCCCTTATAGTCACCATTACACGGTGGGCCTATCACCTCAGAGGAACCTGTATAGCAGGACTTTACGCAAGCAAGGTCTCTAGACTTAAGGAATCTCCAGACTTAAGGAAGGTCCAGGAGTCCAAACTCCAGAAATTGGGTTAAGGGTTGATAGGGTCTAGGGTTTAGGGTTTAGGATTTTCTAACACGCGCAGCTTCCATCTCCAAACCTTGCAACAAACTTGAGGCCAGCAACTCACCTTGGACAATCTTCTGAGTTGTCAGTCTACCTACCATCCGCAAATAATCCCTATCATGAGCCCGCCCAGGAACATCGGAAATCCGCCACCTAAAAAAATTCCAACAGCCGTGGGGGCTCGACCAGTTTTCTCTACATATTACCGCGTCCTTTAGGGGGCTGGGTCCAAGGGGCTAATGGGGAAACTGATGGACCTTTGCGGGAAATGAGGAGGACCGGGGAGTTTTCGGGGTGCCTAGATTACCACTTCCCTTGGACCACCTTCATTAAGGATCTTGTAAACATAGCCTAGCACCGTGGATCTGGACTTAGTGTTTGGGTGCTGAACTTCACTTTGACTATCCCAACGGCCAATATGGGATTTTCTGAAAAACCGTCCTAAATAATACCTAACAGGAACGCTCAGAACCCCCTGATTCCCATGGCACCCCAAGGTACCCTCAGTTTTAGACGCCGTAAACGCTGAACCGCGGGACCCTAGAGATATAGGGACCACCACCCGCTCTTAGAGGATTGTGAAGGGAAACCTGAATCATAGCCCTAATCCCGAAACCCTGTTCGCATCCGCCGTACCCCAAGGGACAAGTAACCCCCTTCAAGGGCACCTTGCATGGGATCTTCTGAACCCCTAAACCCTGAAACCCTGATTCCTGTAGGGTTATATAGGGATAAGTTATTTAGGGTCATATAGGGATATAGTCCCCCTTAAGTAGATAGATCCTACCCCCAAGCCCCAAAGCCATAAACTCAGCAATAGAAGCTTCAACCCTTACGTCAAAGTCCTCGAAAGATCCCTAATCCGTAAACCCTCAACCCGAAACATATCCTCATCGCCTGATCCAGGAGTGCCGCCGCACTGTGCCCCGCATTGAAACCTGGCACGCTTCTAGTAATGATGAAAGTGGTTTTCCCAATTAGGGTTTAGGCTTTAGGGTTTAGGGATACTTTTCTGGGGGTCCCTATTATAAGAAGGATTATAGTATTCTGGCGTCTACATTGGGGTTCCCTATTTTGGGAAACTACCAAAAATGGAGGCTTAGGATTTCGGGTTTAGTGAGTAGGGAAAAGGGAAGGAGGCCTGGCGTGGTGGTGATTGCGGCGGCAGCAATCGCTGGTGGTGCTGATGGTGGCGGGGATTGTTGCAGAATAATATAGTATTTTCCATTTTCTTTTCCATTATCCCTAAACATATAACCCTATAATATAGTATCCATTCCATTATCCCTATGTAACCCAGCATAGTGTTACAGTAGTAGCAGCAGTAGCAGGAGTGGCTGGCAATCATCATCAAAGCAGTGCCAAGGCTGATCCTGCCGGTCTCTTTGCACCGGGCCTAAATTTCACCCGCCCGCAGCGTCCAAAGCCGCCGAAAGCCGTCGAAAACATGCAACTAGTTTAAACGGCAGGGTTCACAAAGCCTATTTAGTTGGAATTAGGTCGCGGTGTCTATCCTAGTATATGGTTATACAAAGATGATAAAAGAACAATACAAGCAGAAACTGGCCCCTCTCAATTGTTCACGTAACACTTCGTTGTCGTGTCTTGTGTGAGACATGAAACGGCAACCAAGGGACTGAAAGACTCAAGAACGAGCCCAGAGCACTGGAGATTCCAGTACAATAGCAATATTAGGACTGGCACTGGTACTTTTCTTACAGTATGGTTGATACAGCAACTATTACCTTTAGTATGATCGCATGTTGCACACCCTACCCTAAACAACCTGAAGAAGGGCCCTGGCTCTCCCTTAGAGTTTTGGGACCCTAGACCCAACCCCCCCCAATAAGCATAAACCCCTTGACCCTGAAGCCTGAACCCATAGAAGCTTTCTAGAAGCCCTCCGATCTTGTCACGAGAACAAAGGGGAGATGCTGCGCAGTTCCTTCAGGATGTAGGGGGCTCCTGGGGCTTCCAGGGGCTTTATAAGGCTTACGCAGGGTTTCCGCAAATTAGGTCCCTGGCTGTGGGTTCTTTTAATACGGATTGTCATATATCAGGGTCTATATTGTTCCCTCCTATGGAAAGCTCATGGAAAGCTGCATTTGTCAATAAGGAGCACCAACCTGTTCTTTCCACATGAACTACAATCAGTATTTTCTACAGAATTTGATGGACATGGGTTCCTTATTCGGGATTATATTAGGGACTAGACTAAACTAGGAGAGGAACCCTTATGTCCACCATTAAGGGCTTCTGAATAAGGCTAATATTGACCTTAGCTCATATCTTCAGCCACCCTCTACGAAGACCCTGAAACTCTACACAACCCATCTCCTGATCATGAACTCATCCCGGAAAAATACTCCAAAAATCTTAATCCCTTACACACCCCAACACCCTGAAGTCAAGGGAACTAGACGGCCTTATTATCTCCCAAACCACCAACCCAAGCACCCCAAGTCTCCCTAACCCCTACACACTAAACCCTAAACCTTAAATCTCAGACCCTAAACCCTAAACCCTAAATACTAGGTTTAGGGTTTAGGGTTTAGGGTTTATAAACCCTAGACCCTAAACCCCAACAACATCTCAAGTCCCAGCCTATTTGGCAGATCTTGAGGCCGCCCACTGCTTGGGGAGAACCCCGGAAGCGGTTCGCAACGAAGCTCCGGAGAAACTGACCAAAAACGCGAGATTTGGGGCTCAGGGGAAAGGGTTTAGGGCTTAGGGTTTAGGATCTAGGGGCTTAGCCTTTAGAGTTTAGGTTTAGGGTTGGCTCGATCTCAGCAAGGGATTTGGCTACCCAATAAACAAATGGAAAATGAAATGGAAACTGTCCGTTTATAGGATTGAAAAAAGGATCTATATAAGTAAAAAGAGGTTTTAGCAGCACATCCGCAATCCCCAAATAAGAACCCC